GATTGAAGTATTCAATCCGTTCGTTGACAGGCACTGTTTTTAATGCAATATGACTACCGTCAATTGCTCCTACCACTTGAGGGAACGGGGACTTGTTTGTGAACAAGCGAATGCTTTGTAGCACCTCTTGCTCAGTCTCTGGAAATTTAATAAATTCTGTGGCCCGTTTGGCAATTGCTTCACAAAAATCGTGTGTTATCAACATAGCTGTACACCTTCCAATGCCAAATTGCAGCCCAGTCGATCTATACGTGTCTCCAGTAGCTAGGCGCCATAACGCTACCGCCACTCACTTGTTTACATGGATACATTGGCGCAATTTTGTGTCTCTCTTCGTCAAATCCGGACCAACCACTCGAACAATGTACTCAAACGTATGCCTTGATGTCCTGAAATATTCTTTCCACCAATCTTCCACGAAATCTCCTTGCAAAAGGCTCTCAAACCAGAACTGATTTCGCGGCCATGCCCACGTACGTCTAGCTCGTCTGGTATTTTTTAAAGCAATTTGGAGTAAAACCATCCGTTTTCGCCTCGACCTCTTAAGGTGTTGTAACATCAACATCTTACGAAATCTTGACGTTTCTGTTTGCGGCTCTTGAATTGAGAAATAAAAAGCAATGGCCACGAAAGCCACCACTTTACTTCTTGAAGCAAGCATGGTTTTAGAATTTCCCGCCAAATTCGATTTCATGACGTAGATAATGCAGCTAGCGGGAGTGTTGACAGATCAACTTGAGTTATTTGAGCCAGTGTAAACACTGGACGAATGTATAGTAAAAGTAACTTGACCTTAGTAAATTTTTACCTTGGTAAAAGCTCGAATGTAAACACAGCATTAGTGCATTTTGAACACCAAAAAGAAACCTCAAGGGAACGAAGAAAACCGACATCTGAAGCAAAGTATGCGCACACTCCTTCGTATTTCTATGCTTAAGAATGTAACCGTGTTTCCCACACAAATCATTTTATTTCGACATGAGCCACCTGTGGTGAGAAAATGTTGGTCTTTGAAAAGCAGCCAAATGTGTGGTTAAAGTTTTATTCACTTCAGCAATGGTATAGCTGCTGGCTAAAAATGATCCATAATTATTTCTATTCAGATTATATTTAGCACCCGTAGTTGTTGACAGCTTAAAACGTGCATACATCACTAGCGACAATAGTGAACAGGTAATTTGGCCTGGCTTGTTGCTACTTCCAGAGGCGATTTNACATCAACATCTTACGAAATCTTGACGTTTCTGTTTGCGGCTCTTGAATTGAGAAATAAAAAGCAATGGCCACGAAAGCCACCACTTTACTTCTTGAAGCGAGCATAGTTTTAGAATTTCTCGCCAATTCGATTTCATGACGTAGATAATGCAGTTAGCGGGAGTGTTGACAGATCAACTTGAGTTATTTGAGCCAGTGTAAACACTGAACGAAACACATGGATAATGGTGTTCTGTGACAGGTTTTAAAAATAGTTCTGTGACATTTCACGGCTCGCTTCGCTCGCCGCGAATTATACAGAATTTTTAAAACCTGTGCACAGAACCACCATTATCCATGTGTGAGGCGTAACAGGCACAGAAAATAACGCTGTCATAGAATTAATTTTTAATTAGAGGATTCTCCATCTATGGTATAAAGAAAAAATTGGCCGCGTCAAGACTTTCTTCCGACGTGCTTGAGATGTTTTACGGCTCCATTTCGCAAGAAGAGAACGCGAGGCTTCGGCCTCCCCTAAGGCCTAGAAGGGATTTTGATTTTGATTTGGTAAGAACAAACTTTAACGAAGGGCTTCGTGTATGGAGAATGACAGTTCCAGCATCCTATAAATTCAAAAACGACCTTTTAAAATTCGCGCAAAAAACGAAATCAAGATTTGCCGAAGTTATAAAAAATGAAATCCAAAACCTACAAAGCGTGAAAACGCAGTTCGCTCTTAACGTAAGGTTTTCGATAACCAGAGATGGAATGAAACAACAAATGGAACATTCTTTTAGACAGAGAGAGCCAACGATTTTTAACAGAAACAACGTGTCAGAAGTGAGCGACGTATTTCGGCAGTTTATTGATGAAGTAAAAGGAGAAATAGAGGCATGGTCTCAAAGAGGCTCAGGCTGGGTGGTAGAAGGCATTTTGGATGCTTTTGTTAATGTCTCCCGATACCAGCCTTTACGTGGAGGCAGCTATATAATTTTGCCTGAAAAGCTGAAAAATAAAAAAGCGATCATCAACGTAAAAAACAGGGACAACCAATGCTTGAGATGGGCACTGCGTGCGGCATTATTTCCAGCTACGGTTGGTGAAAACCCGGCAAGGCTGTCAAGTTATCCCGCAGAAGACGGCCTAAATTTTAAAGGGATAGATTTTCCAACGCCGGTGAAACAGATAGACAAGCTAGAAAAGCAAAACCCGAACCTGGCTATAAACGTGTTTGGCTGGGAAAAAGAGAGCGTCATCGTGCATAGGCTCGGCGAAAAAGACGGAAACGTGCCGAGGATCAACTTGATGTTGATAGAAGACGGATAAAAATCTCATTATACTTATGTGAGAAGGCTGAGCGCACTGCTGCATGGCCAAAGCAAGCATGGGGGTGTCAAACATTTCTGCGAACGATGTCTGCACGGATACAAGACGGCGGAGCTGCTGGAAAGGCACAAACCGGAATGCATGGGGCAGCTGAAACGCCCCACAAGGATCGAGTTGCCCAAAGAGGATGAAAACAAAGTCAGGTTCAAGAACCATCACAAGCAGATGAAAGCGCCGTTCGTGTTGTACGCCGACTTTGAGTCTTTGATAAGGAAGATCCGCGGCTGCGCCAAAGAAAACCAGGTGACGATCAAAACAGAGGTCCACGAGCCCTGTGGCTTTTCATATGTAATCGTGAGAAGCGACGGCCAGACGTACAGCCCGTACGGGTACCGCGGGGAAGACGCGGTTTACAGGTTTCTTATGAGCCTCCAGAACCACGAAAAGGCGATGAGGGTCGAGCTAGCCACCCCAAAGCCGATAGTCATGACGAGAAAGGATTGGGCCAAGTACAAGGCCGCAACACAATGCCACATCTGCAACGAAAGCGTGGTAAAGGCAGGCAGAGATGCATTTGGCGTGTACGACCCCAACACAGGTTATTATTGCGATCAAAGCCACAAAAGGGGTTCGTGGGCCTAAGAAGAGAAAGGAAGCCAAAAGGCCACGACACCGAAGCGTGTGTATATTGCAGGACCCCGCTGCTGGTAAACGGATACAGAGATGCGGTGAAAGACCACTGCCACATAACAGGAAAATACCAACCTAAAGCTAGGCATAAAGCCTAAAACGGCGCCGATACCAGTGATTTTCCACAATCTGAAGGGCTACGACGGCCACCTGTTGATGCAGGCCATGGTGCGGATGCAGGGGGAAATAAACTGCATCCCGAACAACATGGAGAAATACGTCTCCTTTTCGATTGAAAACCTTACATTCAAAGACAGCCTGAACTTCATGATGAGCAGCCTCGATGGGCTGGTAAAGGGAAACGCGCCGGAAGACATGAAAATTATAGAAAAGCTGTGTCAAGACGAAGAAAAGAGGAAGCTGATGCTGAAAGGAATCTACCCGTACGAGTATATGGACGGGTTCGAAAGTTTCGCCGAGGCAGGGCTGCCGCCAAAAGAAGAGTTTTATTCAAAGCTGTCAGGCAAAGGGATAACCGAAGAAGAGTACGCCCACGGCCAGGCCGTGTGGGCCGCTTTCGGCTGCAAGACCCTTGGCGACTACCACGACTTGTATGTAAAAACCGACGTGGTGTTGCTGGTCGACGTATTCGAAAACTTTCGAAAAGTTTGCATGGAAAAGTACGGGCTCGACCCCGCGCACTATTACACAGCTCCCGGTCTGAGCTGGGATGTACTGTTGAAAAAGACCGGCGTCGAGCTGGAGCTCTTGACAGACCTGGACATGCACCTTTTTATCGAAAAAGGCATGCGAGGCGGCATCTCGATGGCAAGCAAGGGGTACGCGAAGGCGAACAACCCGCGGGCGGCTGACTATGACCCAAGCAAGCCGAACAAATACATCACGTACTTGGACGCGAACAACCTGTACGGCTGGGCCATGAGCCTGCCGCTGCCGAAGGAGGCTTCAAGTGGAAGCGAGTGATGCCGATGGAAGAGCAAATAATGAAAATGAAAGAAAACTCGCACTTAGGGTGGATCTTGGAGGTGGACCTTGAGTATCCACCAAAAGAGAATGATGGAAGATCTGGGGCTGGACTTCCCGACAAGCGAGAAACTGGTGCTCACTCTGGAGGGCAAAGAAAAATACGTGGTCCATTACCGGAACCTGCAGCTATACCTGAAACAGGGAATGCGTTTGAAAACCGTCCACCAAGTACTGGAGTTCGACCAGGAGCGGTGGATGGAGCCCTATATCAGAATGATCACAGAGTTCAGGAAAGAGGCGAAGAGCGACTTCGAAACAAACTTCTACAAGCTGATGAACAACTCGGTGTTCGGCATAACGATGGAAAACCTATGCAACCGCGTCGACGTGAAGATAGTCCGGAGCTGGGAGGAAGAAAAGAGACGCCGCCTGACGGCCAGCCCCTCGTACGCAGGCTTTCATATATACGTAAACGACCTGGCAGGCATCCACATGCACAAAACGCGACTGTTCTTGGATAAGCCGATATACACCGGCATGACGATCTTGGAGAACAGCAAGATGTTGATGTACGACTTCTTCTACAACCAGATGAAAGCCCGATATGGGGAGAAATGCGAGCTGATCTACACAGACACCGACAGCCTGCTCATCGAGACGGACGACATATACAGAGACATGGTGGAAGACCTGGCGCTGTACGACACGAGCAACTACCCCAAAGATCACCCGGTCTACAGCGGTGAAAACAAAAAGGTATTGGGCAAAATGAAAGACGAGTGCGCGGGGAGGGTGATCGCTGAAGCGGTGGCGATACGGTCGAAAATGTACATAGAAGAAAAAGAAAACATCAAAAAAGCGAAAGGCGTGAAAATATTTCGTAAAAAAAAAAAGATCCAGCATGAGCAGTACAAAGAGGCGTTGTTTGAGAGAAAGCAGTTCTGTCACGGGATGAACATCTTGCGAAGCGAGGGCCACGAGATCTACGGCATGCGCGTGGAGAAGGCCTCGCTGTCGGCGTTCGACACGAAGCGGTGGATGGCTGACGAAGGCGTGCACACGGTGGCATACGGGCACAAAAAGATCAGGAACGGACTTGTTCGGGAGGAAGCTGCGTATTAGGAGGCACAACCAACAGCTCTTCGCGAACAAAACCGCGCTAAGGCCCGTCAGACAAATAATAGACAACAGGTTCGTTCGGTTTGGTTACAGTTCTTTCAAGATGGTGTACTTTCAAAGACCAAACTGGGTCTGTGGCTCTTTTAGTCCCGCCTTCAAGTTCGCCGGGCTGATACAAATATCTTACATTAAGAAGTGAGGGGAGTTTTAATAAGTAGAGGGTTTGGAGGCGACAGATTTCTCTTTGATAGCGACAGCCGGTTTTTTTCCGATAAGACTAGTGACTTCGCCGTTAAGAGCGGCAACAACGTCGGGAAGCCTTTTGACCCAGGTAGTCGACCGCTGACCCGAAGGCAAAAGCACTTCTACAGCATACTGATGCCCAAACAAGCGCTCGGCGAGCGTGCGGTTGAACCGTTCCACGATAGCCTGGTCTCTGTGAATTTCAGGGCGCCCGTGTCGACTTTTGTGGTTTTCCATTTCTTTGGTCACGCTTCCCATGAACTCGCGCCCAGGGTTGACCCGCAGCAGCTGAGGCCACGTCAAAGGGCTGCGCTTGTAAATCGACTGAAAAGCTATCGCAACCTCCGCAGTCTTTGGAGGTCAGAGGCTCTGCCTCTTTGTAACAGCTGGCGACGTCGACAACAGTCAGCGCGTATTTGTAAACTTTGCGGTCGCGAGGGGGCTTGTCATGAGGCAGAAAAAGAAGGTCCGCCTGGTAGACCGCGTTAGGCGACGATACGTCGAATTTGGGCCGTGGAAGATATCGCGGCGCGGGGAGATAGATTTGCCAGAGGCCTTGTTTGATGAGCCTCTGCTTGGCGGTTTCTTCAGGGACTTTCGCAGCGTCCGCTAATTTTTTGATGGCAGGGATGCCTCTCCAGTAACCCTGTGGGCTGTAGTAGACTTTGGCAAGCTTGGCGTCCATTTATTTATTACACCTTCACGTTCAAAGAAAACGGAAAGCCGCTTAGCCGAGAGCGAGCGCGCTGCCGTCCACAAAAAGCAGCTCGCCTTATTTCTGCTGCTCACTGGGCTGATAAAAGTCAGCGAAGCGAGGCTCTTTGATTGTGATCTGTTTGTCTGGGTGGGCCTGGTTATAGAGTTTGAACGCGTAGTCGGTGTTCGTGAAGTTCTGCTTCGCCTGTTCTTTGATTTCTCTGTTGGTTTCGATCCAATCAAGAAGCATGGTGCGGTCGCGCGTGTATTTGGCCATAGCGGCTTGATAAGCTTCAAGGGCTTTGTCGTGTCGTGTTTTCTCTGCCAATGCCGCTTTCCCACTGTCGCCAGACAGATATCTGACAAGGTAGTTGCCGCCGGAAAAAGCAGCGGCGTTAAGAATCGCGCCCCAATCATCATCGCAATGCTCGCCATTGTATATGTGTAAAAATGTTTTTTTCAATTATCGTATGGCGGTGGGGGTTCGTACGGAGGAGGCGTAAGGCATTTGTCCGGTAATGGAAAGTGTTCAGTACCGAGATCCTCAAAATCAGAGTCCTCCTAATCGGAATCCTCAATAGCATCCAACCAAACAAATTTTATGGCATCAGCGGTATAATAAGATATTTTCATTGAAAAATATAATAACGCAACCGTTGAGAGGGCTTTGAGGAAAAAATAACAACGTGGCATTGGTATTATGACAATATTTCTTCCTTCTAAACCGAAGACGGAAGAATTTTTTGGTCTTCAAGGTACTTTTTGAGTGCGATGCTACCTGACAGGACAGCCGTAAATTTTGCATATTGCATGACACCGCTGCTTGGGTCAGAGGTAAAGTTTTCTTTTACCACCTTTTTCGCAATCCAGCCAATGCCAGCGGTTAAGCCGGTGAGAACGGCCGCATCCATGATCGTATTAACGAGCTTATTGTCTGACATCGCATAATGTACGTCGTTTTTATTTTCAAATATCAATCCATATGCCAGAGCTCTCTTCTTTGCACCGGTCGAGGCAGCTGCGTATCAACAGGGGCTTGCATCTCGACGGCTGGTTGAGGCGTAGCAGGCTGTCGATTGAAAAACTTTTTTATATCTTCGCGTTTTTAAGAGAGGCCAACGACGGAAACCGCGATGCTGATTATACTGAGCCACTGAGTCATGCTGATAACTTTTTTTGTGTCTTCCTTTGACACCTCATCAACAGGCACCTCATGAACGCCTGGCTGCTTTTTGCTAGGAAGAACGAGACCCGCGGCTTCAGCGGCTTTTTTCTTGCAGCGACGGCTCTGCCTGCAGCCATCCGGTTCGGGTTTTTCGCAGGCCGTGTGGTTGGTATTTTTGAAGTAACTTGACCCTGTGCCGGCTCGACTTGAGTGTTTTCTGAATCTACCATTATTTTATTAAACAAAAAAATATTTCATTGAGGAATTGCTGGGCAAAGCTTACTAATTATCCAGCAGTTTGTTCAGCAACTGCTTGGCAATCCTTAGCAGTAATGAGATCGACATGTTTCGTTATGATCAGTGCCGTGTTGAGTACCATGAGAAGCCGAGTACCATGAGAAGCCGCCAATTCCCCTGGTGTAAACCGAGATAAAGCTCTTGACAAAGGTTTCAGTGGTCTTGGCACCTACGTAAGTCTCATACCTTTTGTAGTACTTTTCAACATCTTTAGCTTCCAAGCGCTAACCTGCTCTTGTGTAAGCTGCACGCCGAAGCTCCCTTTGCTTTGCCTGTAGAAACCAGAATTGCACGCTCTTCTCAGAGGGCAGGGATGTCTGGCTGAGAAAGAGCGGGGCCTGGAGAGTTTGAGGGCTCGGTTTCGAGCATCTGAGCGACTTCTTCCATAACTTTCATATCGTCATCGGTAATGGCCGCCATTTAGTTAACGTTTTTCTTTTTTAATTCGAAAATTCGATCTCGTACGGGTGGCGAAGAGAGAAAATAAGGTGGGAGAACTTGCTCTCTTTAAGCCTCGCAATCAGCTGCTTGAGGGCACCTTGCGAAAGCTCTCCCGCGTATTCTTCAAAAATCGCCCTCGTTGTCTTGGCCGAAGGGGTGTAGAACAGCACGATGGGCGCCACATTTTTACGGAACGGTTTCGCAATGCTCGAGAGCGTTTGGTCGGCCATGGAGCGCAGGTTGATCAGCATCTGAAACTGGTTTTCGGTGTAGAACTTTTGCAGCGTCATGTTCTCGGTTTTGCTTTTTTCTTTCACAAAGAAGCGGCTGGCCTCTTTCCACATGTCCTTGCTTTCGATGCCTTCGTTGTACAGCATGTTTGGCGAGCCGTTGATGGTGACGCTGACTTTGGTGATGTCGGGGAAGATGTATTTTTCCGAGTCCCGGGCGCCTGCGACATAGGGCTCCATGAAAAGCAATAGGATCCCTTTCAGGGACCGTTTCTGAGCGTCGACTTTGATGTTCAGCCGCGAATCCGCGCCTTTTTTAAAGCTCACGATTTTGTGCCGCATCACGTGGTCGTAAGCGAATTCTTTGCCGTTCTGATACACGCTGAGCGCCTCGGCTCCGAGGAACTTACTGCGTATCATTTCGTACTCGAGCTCGATGTTGGTCAGCTTGTATTTCGGCTTGGTGGGGTCTGAGCCTCTGACCACCTGTGAAGCAGGG